AAAAGACATCATGAGTATAGTATCACTATGGTTCGTAGTTTTCGACTGAAGCCATAAACCAGATGGACTCAATTACTTACATTTATTATGCCAAAGGAAGTTGTTGTGTTGTTAAATAGATAGTCTAATTCATCTCCAAAATCTGATAACCAATGATGTTGAGAGGAAGAACTTGAAATCACATCGAAAGAAGGTGGAACATCAGTATATTGTTCTGGATAATTGTAACTTATATTGTTATCTGAGAACATCTGAACACAATTTTGAGTCATATCTGGAAAACAAAGCTGCAAACTAGCGGAATATTATGTATAAAATCATTTGACTTACTTTTTCTTTTCGAAGACAATGAAGATGAGGTAGTGGTGATTTGAGGATCGTATGTAGTATGTTGTGGAAGAAATTGGCTTCCATCACTCGCCTCGAATGTAATATATAAAGTCGATTGCTGAGTACTTACTGCTGATGGTGACAAAATGATGCTATCTAAAGATGATAATATTTAAACAAGGATGTTCATCCAATTTGTGCAAGCACATGAAAGAAAATTTCAGAAGGATTACTACTGCTTCAATATGTCAATTCCTTTGACATAAAAGTTAAAACTATTGTCAATAGTAAGATGCCATAAGATTGAATAGTTTCTATATATTTCGAGAAACAAAGTAGGTAGCTATGTATTTTCTTGAATAATAGAAAGAGTCTGTTATAGTAAAGAAAATTATATCGAAGTGATTGTTTAGTTACTGGTCGTTTCAATAAACATACATCAGAATTCTCAAGCCCTGTTTTTACATAGTTCTTTACAATTAATTTCGAACTAAAACAAAATCATTTCCAAGAAAAATATCTTAGTTCAGTTGATGATACATTCTACACTTTTGAGCAAATGGAAGTTCGCTTCAAACGCTCTCATCAATCAAATAAGTTTGAGTTAATGCATAAAGTCTCATGGTTGCGTAGATACATTTATTGACATGCATCCATCAATTACTCATCATTTCAGATTTCTCAGATTCATCGTTTTCATCGAAAGAAAGAAAAAATGTCAAAATTCTCGTAGATCATTTGAATTTGCGTCTCTACTATACGACATCTTGATGTTGATAAGATATAAACAGAAATTACTGTGTACGTAGTGATTGGTATGTGTATTCGCTCTAACGCGGCGTAGAGTAACGGACATAGACAGTGAACATAAAAAAAGAGACTGACAAAGTTGTTTACATTTATTTTGAATGCATACCAAGGAGAAGTTCATGAATAAGGCATCATTTTAAGTTGGATTTATTCATCTGTCATTTTGAGTTCTATTAACATGTTTTTTAACTTAGATCGGAATTTTCATGATTGAAAAAATTTTTCATATGATTAATTTTTTCACTCGAACTTGGGAGCTTACAAGGATTACTTTTCCAAGAAGTCGCAGCTAATGCAAATATTTCAAATATGTGCAATTGGATCCACTTTAGGATTTTTTAATCGATATCAACTTTAAATAAAAATTTAAGAAATCACAAAAGCACATCTAGAAAACAGCTTCTTAGGAGTTTTTAAAAGCGACTAGTATTATTCATATAAGTTTGTATAGTATTGTATACCATTTTTCAAATACAATCCAACTAAATCCAGATAAATCTATCAGATAATCGTTTAAAGGATGTTTCTATGTAATTTTAAAGCCACTGAAACACATTATGAACATATGTGAATATTAAAACTCTGATCAACTGAATCAAACTCATCCAGATACCGATCCTCTTTCTTAGATTAATCTGAATGTTGTCTATATTATAATTGTTCGAAAAGCACTTTTCTTCAAACATTCATCAATAAAAAACAGTGAAGGCCTAAAATAATGAGGATATCATTAAAAATATTTGTGTCGATAATCGACTAGTCGTCAGAACACTTAAGTCGACTTTTGCGTTATTGAAGATTAATTTAGTAAACCTGCTGCCGCAAAAACAATGAAAATATTAATGACAAGAAACTCACTGTAATCTGATGGATGAGTTGGATCAATGGAATTCTGTGAAAATGCACCACAATTATTTGCAGTATCCAAGCTTCGAGTAACCCTTGAACTTTGACTTTTTCTCTGAGACGGTTTGCGTATTCCACCGTGATGTCGGCAAAGTCCGTTGTCTTGAGACTGTCTCTTACATTCGGCAATTGAGCAGATCGGTCGCCACTTGATACCATCGGATATCATTCGCCTACCATTTTTATTTACTCGAATATCTCCTTTCTTGTGCGACTTCTTTGTGTGAACTCGACCATGTTTCATGTTAATCTGAAATGTGAAATACCGAACATAAACTGTTTTCTTGAACATTTTCTATCACGAACGTGCAGTATAATTTTCATTAAAAAAGTCATCAACATGAGTATGTGTGTAAGTGAATAGAACAGTGATTTTTACTCCGCTTCTAGATGTATACATGAAAGAAAAATGCGTGCAATATTTTCGAATAAATATTTTTTCGTTTTCAAATAGTATGTTCATCAGTTTTGCCGCAGAGTAATAATGTGATTTCTGAAATAACTTATTAGTAGCCCATGTGCATGCTAAACAAGCTAAGCCAAGCGATTCTTTCCATAAAATCCTATCAAAAAATTCTTACTTGACGAAAAATTATCTCATATGAAACTTTTACAGAAAATAGAGTACTTATACTATCTTTAGCCATGAACGAAATTTCAGGAAGAACTTTTTATTACATATCGATCGTACGTATTAAAATGGACTATATGCTAAATCTTTACATTCTGATCTCGAACTATGATATGAATGATATACTAAAACGATGACAGGCTGTGTCTTTCAGAACTCAAAGTTCGCAGTTAAACTATGCTGGACCGATAGATGTTTGATTTTCAGTTGATAAAAAGTCATAATTCTCAAAGAAAAGCGGGGTTTCCTATGAGGCGATATGGTTGTTGGCAAGAAATTTCGGTAACTATTTTCTTGTCAAAGGATATTGCGGATGTCATCACCACCTGACGGTACATAAACAGAGTTCGTTTGCAAAATCAAAAACATAGATCGAAATTTCAGCTCGTACAAATGTCATTATATATGTGTAATAGTCTCGCAAATTTGTTCTTCAATGATCTCGTACAGAATTAGTAGTAATGATAACTCAGAAGTGATTAGTAATGACTAATTCATGGCAGTAGATCATTGGCGATTGGTTAACCATAGTCATTTCTGTGTAATTCATTCTTGTGAAATTCATCTATTGAAGTGAAACATTACCAATTCCAGAATGCCGATCAACCAGGAGCATTCCTCAATCGCAATCCTTAAATAGTTTGTTCAATTCAAACTGTTACAGTCCTACTCACAATTTGGAAAAGACTTCTTCACGTAACAAACGCAACGCATGTATGATGTCACACAAATGTGTTTAGACAAGAAGAAAAAGGAATATTGCATGATGCTGTGCATGGAGAGTAAGAACGAATAAACCAGATTGCATATCAAAAGACCATCGCCATACAATTGGATTAACGAAAAGTTCGGCCTAAGTTCCGAGAAAAAATTTGAATAAGTCAATGAAACCATAAAGTATTCCAGAATGTCTTTTGATGTGTGCCCAACGATCACACTCAATAAAAAAATTCTGAATGATTTGAATGACGTGTCATTTTTTACACATTTATTTCGGAGACTCTCTAAGACGGTAAAAAATGTTTTCTTTATTTATTTAAATGACTCAACACAAACAGTGAAATATGTTTTTTTCCCATGATGTGATTTTTTTATGTTTTCCTGCTGCAAATTCACGACAGTATGTGGAAATTTCATTTTGACTGTCTTATACAAAAACTCAAACAAGTTTTCAATTCTATCTCCTGCAACAAAGAAATTAAAGTTGTGGGTGTAGGCTAGGTTTAGATGCTTCGATGAACATTACTGTGTATATATCGTGGTTATGATTGTAGGTTTCAACGGCATTTCGAATGAGATATCAGATAATCAATGAAAATAAGACTCGTTTACATACACAAGTTAACCTAGCAACTTTTAACACACACTTACCTATGTTTACATACTCACACTGTATTCTTTTCATAGGTAGACACTTTTCAACCAATTGCGATAGGCATTCAACAATCATCAGACACATTACTGAAAGAGAAAAATTTTATTTTTCGTTCGCCTTCTCCCTTTCTCCGTTCTTAGAAATAGAGAAGCCGTTTAAAACAGTCCATTTAGCTTTCAAAGAAATCGAAATTCATTCTTCAGAAGAAGCTGGATGAAAAGGTTGAAAAGATATATTGTTTATTCAAAATACATTTGTGTCAATCAGGAATCGAATTGAAACGTTTTCCTAGAAAAAATCTTTGGTATTTCAGTTCCAGATCTGCGACAGATTCGGTAAGAATCCTTCAAGGATTCGCTCTTTTTGTCTCGAGGAAACGACTAAATCTTGAAAGAAGCTTATAGTCAGAAAATTGCAGATGTATGTACGTGTTTGCATATGAGTGTACGATCTTCGTATGTTAAATGATCTCCACTTATCTCTGTTGTATTTATGCTTAGATATTTCTCAAATTATGTACTCATTCTTCACCAGATCCACATATAAGGATCCAAAATATATTCTGACCAAAATTTTGATAGAACTCTATTTATGATTCTAGTGAGGATCCTAGATAGGATCAAGAGTAAATCTTGATAGGATTCGACATTCTTACACTATAAAAAAACCTGGAAAGGATCTTTAAAAAATCCAAGAAAAGATCTTTTCTTGACAGTGTGGGTGATATCGTAATATATGTTTCATGGCAATTTAAGATGACTATAGAAATAGAATCTATCGATATTATATCAATAATAATTGAATTGTCGATAGATAATATTGTTTATAAAAAAGTATTTATTTCTTATAATTAAATTTGAAAAATGAAACAAAATGATTTTAAAAAATCGAAAGTTTAAAACTGAATATAATTTTATCGTTAATCAGAAAAAAGAAAATTTGAAATAATTATTCAAAATTAACAAACTTTCTTAAATCATTTGTGCCTGTTGATACTGTAGTATATTTTCGTTCACGTTCACTTAATTCGTTTTTCAATATTTGATCACATACATCTTTATGCATTGTAAATACAAAACACGGATTTCTAAACCCAAGTTGTCTTATTTGTTTAATTAAACGTGCACCAGCATTATGTGGTGGTTGTTCGTTGTCTCGATGCATATCAGTAACAATACGAAATGTATCTCGATTTTTTAAAATTTGTCCAAATGGTGATCGAAGAAACGAAAGAGCATTCTCAGTCGATGATTTTGGAATGAAATGTACATTTTTATTCAATTCTTTAGCTGCTGCATATTCCATATGAGTTTTATTTTCCCATTTAGAATTAAATATATTATCATCAACCCATAAAACTGACCATGCCGATAAACCTAATTCAACTTGACGCATATAAATTGTATGTTGAGTACCATGATGACTAATTGTATGTTTAAATATAAGAAATGTTGAATGAGGTAAAAATAATACTTCATCTTCTTCTGGATAATTTGAAAATTGTTGAATTGGACGACCAGTCAAAGAATAAATTTTAAAAAATGTATTTCGACCAGCAAAATCAGCATTAGTCGCTACTTTTTTACCCTTTTTCGAACTACTAAATTGAATCCATGTTATCAAAGCACCAGTTGTATAAAGTTTTAATTCTTCATCTTTTAATTCACATGCTCGTGTAACATAACCCCAATAATATGGTATATGCGAAAGAGCTTTAACTAAATAATAAAGAATAATTGATGCTTCACTTAATTCTTTAACTGTTTTATCATCTATAGGTACTCCATTGCTTTGTCGTGCAATAAGACTAGCACCTCGACTACATGCCTCACTTTTTGATCCAGTGTAAAATGATATTGCAAAAGCTGATGCTAATGCATCATTTTTTAATAAACCTTTATCAAGAAAATATTGACACGATTTAGCAGCACGATCATTATGTTCTGCAATTACATTATCAACATTTATTCCTCGTCTGTTTTCATAATAACGACATATTTTAATAAGTTTTTCTAATGAGGCTGTTTCTTCTATATAACTCGAAAGAGCACTATTAAAATTATCTTCATAAACAAAATGTTCATTTCGTGCATCAAGAAGTTCTTCAGAATTATGATTTAATATTATATATTCAAGAATAAATTCAACATCTTCACATTCCATAACACCAATGCTTGCAGCAGCTCCATATGCACCGCCAGTTGTTTCACCTAATGATTCAACCATACTTCTTAATTTAGTTAATTGTTTTTTATCTTCAACATATCCAACTAATATCATATAACAATCATGAGATAAACGATGTTGTGCTGTTGCTGTTCGAGGATTAAATTTTGTTAAATCTGTTATAATCTCATTAACAGATCGTGACATTATTTATGTAGTTGGTCTAAAATATTATTGAAAAATCTAATTAATCATTGTTTGATAACTTCAATCAGAAATAAATGATTTTTCAATTTCTTTTTATTATAATATTATTCAAATGACATTTCAAATCTCGAATAATTATTATTTAGATGATGTAGAAAAACAAAAAAGCAACCAGGGAAAGATGAAATGTCTCTGTTTTTTGTTTTTGGCTATCAATATTCAACTTGAATCAAAATATAGAAATTTTTCTTATTTTACGAAGTCTATTCAACATTAATATGAAAAAAAACTAAATCTTATCAACAACAGAAATATCTTCCTCATGATGAATTGTTCCATTAATATTTATGAACACTGAATTAATTTCCTATGAAAAGATTATATTTGATATATTTTAACATAGATTGAAAGATTTTTCTTCAAGAGATTTTTCACTGATCATCAAAGAAAAAACTATAAATGTACTAAAGGATACTTATATCCGAAAATTTCTTCTTTCATATTATTTATGAAAATCAACTTATGAAAATTATTTGAAATCAACGAATACATTGAATATTCGGCAAGAATTGAATCGACACTTATAACAAATATAGTTTTTACTTTTTTTTCTGAACCTGAATCTCTAAGTTTGACTTCAAAATTATGTTTTGTCAATATCTTAGTCAAGATATTTTATTTATTTCAATTAGAAAAAGAATTAAAGCAATCGTATGCTCAAAAAAACGATTTTTGAGTTGAGAAAAAATTCTTCTCGTCAAATCAAATACATTTTATTTAATTTAATAGGAATCAATTTTGATCAATAATTCTAATTTACTTAAAAACAAATATTCAGAGTCTCATTTATGGTTAAAACAATCATTACTGTTTCTATCTTTCAGATTTTTTTCTCTATTCTTAAATATCATGTAGTTACCTGCAAAAAAAACTTATTTACAAATAACAATATCGTTGGCAGTGCCCATAAAAACTGAGACATACGTAGTTTTATGCTAGTAAAATGTATCATTTCAATAAAAATAAGCCAACTAACGATATAACTATTTAATTCCACGAGAACTTTTCTTGTTAAATAGAAAATGGTCTAATTCTAACAAATATTTTTAAAGAAGAATGACTAATGTAATACAAATAACTTAAAATTTAATTTCTCTTTCTATCATCTAGTGTACTGGAGAATTCATATTTTTGATTACAATCATGATTATGGTCACACAGTACACTAGTATTTAATTAGTTTTTGTGCGTTTTCTCGTTTGCTTTTTCTTTCGAGTAAGATACAAACTTAGATTTTTTCTGATTTCAATATATGCATTAAGTTTTTGAATAAATCATTGAAATTTCGGGAACATATATTTTACCATTATGAAGGCAAAATCTTAGCTATGATCGCAATCACGCACGATCGTGATCGTAAATTTGATGATTACGCAGTACACTACTGATATTATTAACGACGTCACTTACGAATAAAACAAACGAATATGGATGTAACAACGAAAGAAAAAGACAGAGAGACATTGATAACATAAAGAATAATTATGAAAGAGAGAAGATATACGTCGATATTATTACATGAATTAGAATTATTGTCTATAAACAAGTATATTTAGAATATAGTTTATATAGAAAAACTAAGTTTCTTTGTTGAAACAAGCAATTGATAAGGGCTCAATCTATTTTTTATGTTTATGTTTAATAGATAGATTCTTTTTGAAAAATATCAAAATTTTATGATACTATTCAACGTGGGTGTCACACAATAGAACATGGTTAGTGCTTAAACTTTGGATTCTTTGTTCTAAAATCAATATGAACATTAGTATTTAAATGCAAATGCCTCATATAATTGTTCGAGAATTCCTTCTTATATATTTTCTTTTCAGACTAATATAATATATTAATCATATCAGTCAATCCGATCTCTTACATGCATCGATGATTAACAACTATCGTGAATTCAGATCTGTTCTATGAGGCTGTATCTTCTGCTTAGATACTTTTCCACTAAAACATTGTTTTTATGCTCCTTAAAATGATATTAACCATGAAAACTTCTTGAAAACTTGTCTCTTTGTTTCACTATTGAAAACACAATTGGAAAATTCATTATAAAAATAAATTTAGAGTCTGATCATATAGAAAAATAGAATTATTGAGATCATTTTCGTGATATCTCAAAAAATTCGTATCTTTGCATTTAAAAAAACATTTTTCTTTAAATAAAGTCTCGACAAGTTTCCATTATTATACACAATACATTTTCTTTTCTACAAAAACAAAAACAAAACAAGATTTCTAAGATGTCTTAGACATCTTAGATATATAATTGACGCTCAAGATTTCTCATAGAATCGAAATATATCCAGTATTGTACAGAATACATCATAGAATCCATAAATGTTTTTATTTCTTCTTCACAAAAACAATATCAGAAAACTTACCTACACGAAAACATCGAAAATGTTCTAGCACAAATGTTAAAATATAATGATTCAGATTC